GCCAAACCGATTCGCATCCATCCGCCAAACCGCCAATCCGCTCAATCCACATCCGCCGGATTGGCGGACGGATGCGGATTGATTTTCTCCAATCCGCCAATCTGGCGGACGGATAGCGGATTGGAGGTTCCGTGGCCGCAACCGACCCGCGCCCACCCCTAGTCAGCTCAGTTCAATTCGACTTATTGGGTTCACTTTTGGGCACCTTTTCGATTATCTGAACCGTTGTACATTTTAGGGTATGTTGAGTATATTATTCTTGTAAAAAAGTACGTCGACCGGATAACGGATACTTATATTCGGATCACTTTTGTCGAGAAAAAAAATGGACTGTCAGAAAATTAACGGTTCATAAAAAATTGATCCGAATACATTGTATCTGCTATCCGATTGACGTAATTTTTTACAATGATAATATACTCAACAAATCTTAAAATGTGAACGGTTCAGGTTATCAAAAAAAGGTCCAAAAGTAAACCCAATGGTCAAAAAATGGCTCAAAAGTAAACCCAATGAACCGGACTGGACCCTCCAGTTTAGATGGTGAACTGGAGGCAAGCCACTACCTTTATATACTATATGTGCATTCATTACACAGTTTATTAGTACATACACATTTTTGTAGCAAATATTATGTAAGTTTTTTGGTATAGTTAGGATAATTTGTGATTCAAAAATAAAATTATAATTGTTGTGGTAATGTTATGCATTTTTATGCTAAAGTTACGTGTTTTGTGGTTCAAAAATTTTCATAAATGTGTAACATTACTACAAAAGTACATAATATTAACATTACCATCAGCAACCACCGGTTGCCACCACTAGCTATGGCCACCAAGTCTAGCTATTTTTCCGATGAATTTTCTGACGACCGATCGCGATGAATAAAAGTGAAAAAAAAAAATTATATATCAAAATAATAATTTGTCATTCTCATAAAACAATTTAGTTAATCATATCCTTTCAATTAAAACAAAATAATCCTTAAACCTAATACTATACACCCCCATAAATGGACTTCTAGTAATGCTTCATAAACTAAAACACTCATTAGTGTGACAGGTAATTTAAAAAAAAAAAAAAATACTATATCACAATATTTTAAATAAATAATCTTTATAAAACTTATATTTGTAAATCATTTTCTTACATAGTTTTTTTTGTAGTTTTTTAAACTCTAATAATATTTACAAATTTAATATTTTTGTAATAATATTTATTAGAAATATGTGTTACTATCATTTAATAACATAAAATCATGTGAATTTTAATATATAGTGAATTTTTCTATAAAAAATATGGTAATAAAATTATGTTGAATTTAATAATTATATTTAAATAATGAGTGCACTATCATATGTATTAGTTTATCATTTAATAATGGATAAATTACACTTTCACCCCCTAAATATTACCCATTTCTCACTTAGGTCACCAAAAGAAGATTCTCCCACTTTATTCCCTAAACTATCCTCCTTTTACCAATTTAGTCCACTAGCCGACTACTGCCATAATTTTGTGACAAAAAATACTACTTGGCACAGGCAACCTAGAACCCACTGAAATGTAACCCATATCCAAGGGCAGTTTATGAAAATTGAAAAGAATAAAAGTCTTGTCACAAAATAAAAAGAAAAATCACAAGGACTTAGGATGTTTGGTTGAGGAATTAGACCCTCGATTTTATTGATTGATTGAGGAACCCAAACCGAGTATATGCTACGGTTCAATTTTTTTTTTTTTAAATTTTTTTTTTTTTAATGTAATGTGAATGAGGGGTTCACAAGAGGTTTGAGAGTTTTATAAAAATTTACAAAGCCCATATCAATAATAAATGAAAAGAAATAGTGAAGATTGCTCTATAAAAGCCTCGATCCTTGACGCTTATTGGAAAACCTATGACATTTGTCATTTATTTTCTAATACTCAAAAATTAAAATATAAAATAGTAATTTGTACCATACCAAATCATTTCCCCACCAACAACTGCCATGCTCCCCATCATAATGATTGAATCCTCTGTCTTTTCAAACCTCCATACAAGATTCTCTGCCACCACCACGATCACACTCACGTGCACTCATATATTCTATCATTGATCCTACTAGCTACCAACTCTGCCAATATCTCAAATCTACTACCAACGATCACACTCCCTCAACTACCAATGTCATGTCCTTTTCTTTGGTGACAACCTAGACAAAAACCAAGCAACAAAGCCTATAGTTTAACAACAATGATTCATTCTATTAAAAATATCATCATTAATAGTATTAATACATTAACAAAGTAAAAAAAAAATAAAAAAAATACAACTCCAAGACCAAAACATCACATCATTAATGACGGGACCCACTGCCACCTAATTAGTGAGAGCACTAATTAGTGCTCCCAAGCATTTTTCATAGTTCAATTCACAATATGTTCCTATCAACAAATTACAACAATGGCAACCATATAACCCTTGTTACCCCACTTTTCCTTTTTCATTTCCCAATGAAAAGAAACCTACAAAAACAAGTTCTTAAAAGTCAAACCAATTTAAGTAGATTGATTATGGAGTTGGTAAAGGAGATAACAGTCGAGAGTATTTCTGAGGGAATTGTAGATTTAGATAAAATAGAGGTGTTCGTTGGAGATAGGAGAAGAGAAATGTAGAGAAAAGGAAGTAAAATGAAAAGCGTGGTGTGGCGGTGAAACGATAGTGTTGGTGAGAGAGGGAAGAGAGGGAAGGTGGGGAACAGTGGCGTGTTGGGGTAAATAGGTAGAAAGAGGGAAGAAGAGGGGGCAAACGAATGGCAAATGAGCGATGTTGAGTTTGTTTGGGATTAACACCTGGATAAAGGTTGGTGTTTGGATAAGGATATGGGTTGGATTTTGTTAAAGTTTGTGAGGGGTGGTTTTGCAATATTCATTTGTCCCAAACAAATCTTTCTTTGACCTTTGCTCTTGTGCTTGAGGCAAGAAACACTTCTGTCGGGGGTGCTATTTGTGAGGGGTGGTTTCTCTCTCTCTCTCTTACTTTTTATTTATTTTTTTTCTTTTTCTTCTCAAATTGAAAATACTTTTTTTTATAACAAAAACCCTACTTTTTTTATTTATACATGAGGGCCTCTTTTTTCCCTCTTTTAATTTTTTCTATTTATTATTTTTTCTTTTTTTTTTTTCAATTTTAGACATATAACAAATAAATAAAACTATATATATTAAACGTGTCTCCAGCGTATTGTGTCTCCTTTTCTTTTGAAAATTTAGGTATCCGCATCCATGTCCGTATATGCGCTTCATAGAAGACAAGTCATCATGTCCTAATGGCCCTCATAAATATTTGCAATTGTGCTAGATGCACAAAAGGAATAAACACAAAATCCATATACAGAGACTTTAGAGACATCAAGAGCATGTTTGGTTTGTCTCTCCAAACATGTTTTTGGAGAAAAAATTTCAAAGACATGTTTGGTTGAAAAAATTCCAAAAACATATTCCACGTAAGGGTGCCCCGTAGCAATAATGTTTTTTTTTACTTTTTTCCTGACTGAGCCATAATGTTAGACAATAACATGGGCATCTCAGTAGATTTTGAAAAAATCATTAAAAATTATATATATAATTAAGTAAAATTAAATTTACTCTAATTAGCTCAGAGTAATTGATAAATCGTTTAAAAAGAAAAATCAATCATTTTTATATTCGTCCAAGTCCATCCCACTACAATCGGCTGTTGAATCACTTCGTTCCATTAATAATTTTAACTATACTAACAATTTTATTAAAAATACAATATGCGTGATTGGTGGTTAAAAAAATAACAATATTTCAATATCATTATAGTTAGACATATATATTTTTAATAAAATTATTAGTAAGACTTTAAATAGATATAACATTGCTCTCCTTGCATATGCAAGAGAAATGGGGGAAAATACCAATTTGAGTTGCCCAAAACGCCGCGGATCGGAGAGGAACTCTTTCTTCTTAGCCGTCCGAGGATGGTGCATCCACATGGTAGCGTCCATGAACTGCACACCATTCGATTCACACGCCTCGAGAATCGTGTCAAGCTCCTTCACGTCCAGCGCCACCGGCTTCTCCAGCAACAGGTGCTTCTTCTTCTCGGCGGCTAAAGCGGCCCACTTCAAGTGCAAGCTCGTCGGGAGAGGCACGTAAACGGCGTCGACTTCTGGATCGTCTAACACGGCTTCGTAGCTGCCGTAGACCTTAGCCGACGCCGGGAAGCCGTTGTCGGATGCGAATTTCGAGGCCTTGTCGATCGAACGGCTTCCGATGGCGGAGATGGAGGCGTTTGGTGCGAGTTTAATTGCTCTTGATAGTATGCGTGCTATGGTAGCACACCCCAGTACTCCGAATCGGACAGGCGTTTCCGACATCTTTCAGGCGATATAGCTTTTTCCCCCCAAAACAGAGTGAAATATGAACTTTAGAGCATCTCCAACGATAGTAGGCATTTTACTTATCTAAATATTACTATAAAGTATATATTTTATTTTACCTATCAACTGTTTTATGTTTTTACTCCAACCATGCTCTTTATTTTAGTTATTTATCTAAATACTATTAATTTTATAGAATGACACGCCAACAACAAAGATGGAGGGAAATGATCCTAATGATTGAATATATTTTGCCTAGCGTTGAAGGCTAGCTACATGTAGCTAGTGAATATGAGTTGAGCCAAAATGCCTACTCATATGCCTAGTGCATTGGAATTGAAAAAAGTGAATCACATTAGGCATTTTAACTAACAAGTATTATATGCCTAGTGCATTGGAGATGCTCTTATAATGCATGTGGGTTTCTTATTTTTGCCTTTTAATTTGCTGTTATTTTTGACTCTTGGTTTTAAACGTCTTAAAAAACCCAAAACCTTTTAAAAAGTGAAAAATAAATAGCTTGATTGTTTTGAAAGCTAACTATTTTAATTAATTTTTTTAATTTTTACAAAAATATATGTAGGGAATAAAAAAGAAAAGAAAAAAGAATTGTTGATTTTTAATTTTTTTTTTTTTTTTTTTTTGTTTTTTGGACTTTTTAACTATATTAACTAGTTCCCAAACTTATGTTTGGATATGAGAAGAATAATGAAAAAAAAAATGATTTAGTTCAATATAAAACAAAAAAGAAATGATTTGTTAAATAAAGAAAGAAAATATTTTCTCCTCCTATTTAGTTGGAGAGAGAACAAAAATTATGATTACTCTCCAATCTTATTTGACTAGACCACGTAAAAAATTATGATTACTCTCCAATCTTATACTAATAATTTATTTTTATTTAATACAGATCCCTCTCATTTAAAAAATTACATTTCACTCTCTAATGTTTGTAATCTCATTATAAATTGTTCCTAGATTACAGATTCCATATCCTAAAATTTTCTAAATGACCATCTTGTCTTTTTTTATGATATTTTTTGTATAAATTTTTAAATATGAATATAAGTTTTTTATTTTTATTTTCAACATTATATCTAGATTAGATCAATTTAAGCTAGATATATTTAAAAAGTATAAAATTTGTAAAAAAAAAATTAAAAAACTTATTCAATACAACAAAAATAAAATAATGTAATGAATTTATATATATATATATATATATATTTGTATTTGGTGAATTTTAAAAAAAAAATCACAAAATATTATACTTTTTAAATATATCCAGATTAGGTGTATCTAAAACATTTTTAAAAATGCTTAAAATATTAAAAAACACAAAAAATAAAAATAAAAAATTCAATTTTTTGTATGAATTAAACTAAAAAAATTATTATCATTTCTCTTGAAATGACATAAACAAAATATTTGTATTATTTTATTATTTTATATGTATAAAAGCTAAATGAAAAATATTTCATTTTAATCTAACAGGGTTAAGTATAATTTTTCAAATGTAAAGAATGAATCTATATTAAACAGAAATTTCAAAGGGTATCAATGTTATTTACCCATTATATTATTAAAATAAGCTTTATGTTTTTCCTTTTTGGTACTTACACGGACATTTTTCCTATTACATAAAATTAGTAATCATCGCCTTTCGTTTTTTTGTTATAATCCCTCCAATTTTGGAGTGATTAAAAAATTGGTTGTAAAAGAATTCAATTTCTCACAATTTCATTTCATTTCTCTTTATTTTTCTCCTCCTTTTTAGTAATCCAAATAACCAAGGGAAATCTTTTTTTTTTTCCCTCTCCAAATCACTCAATTTAAAAGGACCGTAAATGTTAATTTAAAATGTCAAATAAAAAAAATTAATTAGTAAAAATAAGCATAAAAATTCAATTTTTTACTTTATTTTTTAAATCGCAAAATTTTTAAATTTAGAAAGATATAAAAAGTTTTAAAAAATATTTAAAGAAAAAGCTAAAGATGAAAAAAAAATTCATACCTCATCTAAAAATTTTAAATAGCAAAAACATTTGTTTTTTTAGTAGGGTTGGTTTGGCAAGTTTCAAAAAAATCAAAAAGTTAAAAAGTCACTATCATATTTAAGTCACATCATCTTATTTAAATCACATCACCTCTCTAACACATCACTTCAAATCCAACCCAAATCCAACTCATATTTCATAAAAATTTAAAAAATATACTTATTTAGATCATCACAAATAACTTTATGCATCTTCTTCGTCATTTTTAAAAACACTTTATCCAAATTGTAAAAAATAAAAAAATTAACAATAAAATATTGGGCAAATTTCAAACACCCCCCTCGAGATTTGATGAAAATACAGATTTCCCTCTAAGGTTTGAGAAATTACATCCCACCCCTTGAAGTTTATATTTTCATAACAAATTGCCCCCTGAGGTTTTTATTTTCATATAGATTCCCCTCTAATTTTTCCTAATTTGTTATGAAAATTTGACCTTTAGGGGGCAATTTATAATTTCTCAAACCTGAAAGAAAAATCTGTATTTTTATCAAATCTCGAAGGGTGTTTGTAATTTGTCCTAAAATATTTGTCAAACTTCCGTACTACCGACTCCTGTCGTTTATATGGATTTTTTTTTTTTTTTTTTTTGACAAATGTGTTTTTTCATCTTATTTCTGCATGAGTTGTTATATGCACCAGATCTTGTTCGAATCTTACCGCTTACCTGATTATTATAATTTTTGCATGTGTTTTGCTTACCCCCTGAGATTTATGTTTATTACAGTTCCCCCCTCACCTTTTGAAAATTACATCTTCCTCCCTGAAATTTAAAGTTTCATTACAGATTCCTTCCTCAACAATTTAATTTTTTTAAATACTAATTTTGTCCTCATTGGATAAATTATATTGACACCCCTCACATTTTAAAAATTACATTCCCCTCCCTAAGGTTTAAAATAGCATTACCAATTGTCCCCTCGATTAGTATTAGTTGAAAAAAAAAAATTAATTGGAAAAAAAAAATTATTTGAAAAAAAAAGTAAATTAAAAAAAAAAATTTGTTAGTAGAATTTTTAAATTTCTTTCTAAAAACCAACAAAAACTCATTTTTTGAATTTATATTTTTTTCTCAAATTTACAAACTGAGATAACCATTTATAAACCAAAAAAACTATTAAACAAGTTTTTATGATAGTTTCTTAAATTTTTGTAAATATAAATTAAAAACTAAAAAGGAAATGGTTACGAAACAGGCTTCAGATGGTAAAAATGTCGTAAAATTAACAAATAATTAAATAAGTTACCAACGTAAGAAATGACTTATCAAAAGATTCTTAAGCTATGTATAATTTGATTTTTAGAAAAAAAATTAAAAATTAAAAATTAATCCGGTTAAGAAATAAAAAATAAAAAATAATTATCATTTTTATCTTTCGAGTGGTCAGAAATAATTTTTTACAAATTAAATTGAAACAGCTATACGCATGTATATAACCTGCCCAAAAGTTAAAATGATAATTATTTTTTACCCTTACATGATAATTATTTTTTATTTTCTATTTCTTAACCAAATTAATTTTTAATTTTTAAAAAAAAATCTAAAAATCAAACCATAATTAGCCTAATAATGTTTTGATAAATCATTTCTTACATTGGTAACTTATTTAATTATTTATTAATTGTACGACATTTTTACCATCTGAGGCCTATTTAGTAACCATTTCGTTTTTAGTTTTCAATTTATATTTACAAAAATTAAAAAAAAACTGTCATAAAAACTTATTTGATAATTTTTTTGGTTTATAAATGGTTGTCTCAATTTGTAAATTTGAGAAAAAAACGTAAATTCAAAAAATGAGTTTACGTTGGTTTTTAAACAAAAATTTAAAAAATTTACTAACAAAATTTTTTTTCAATTAATTTTTTTTTAAATAAATTTTTTCCAATTAATTTTTTTTTTCAATTACTTTTTTTTCCAACTAATACTAACGGATGGGACAATTGGTAATGCTACTTTAAATCTTAGGGAGGCAATTGTAATTTCTAAAATGTAAGGGGGTGTCAATATAATTTACCCAATGAGGGAAAAATTGGTATTAAAAAAATTAAACTGCTGAGGAGAGAATCTGTAATGAAACTTTAAACCTCAGGGGGAGATGTAATTTCTAAAAGGTAAGGAGAGAATTGTAATAAATATAAATCTCAGAGGGTGTTAATGTAATTTATCCTTTTTTTATCTATTTAGTCTTTTTGATCTATAATAACTCATTTACTCGCCACATGAGAGTGTCACATTTAAAAAAAGTTCACTAAAGAATTTTTTTAATATCACATCATACTCGTCACGTTAGAGTGTCACATTTAGAAAAATACACTAAAGAGTTTTAAATTTTTTTTTGAGTGCCACATGTTACATTTGGAAAAAGTATATTAAGGAGTTTTTAATTTTTTTAGAGTGTCACATCATACCTGTCCTGTTGTCACATTTGGAAAAAGTAGACTGAGGAGTTTTTATTTTTTTTTAGGAATAAAAGTTTTGGAATGTTACATCATACCTGTCACGTTGTCACATTTACGAAAAGTACATTAAGAAATTTTGATTTTTTTGGAGTGTCACATCGTTAGAGTGTCATATTAATACCTGTTTAGAGTGTCACATCGTTAGAGTGTCATATTAATACCTGCTTAGAGTATCACATCATACTTGTCACATTAATAAAATGATATAGTTGTTCACCAAAATACTACCAAAGTTAAAAATATGACTACGCGAAAAGAAACTCTCCACTAATGGGACTTAACAGATCAATAAAAAAAAAACTTGAGACTAATTAAAATACTTATTTGTGAGATGAGATTTATTGATAAATATATTTTAATTCAATTTGTATTAAACAAATAAATAAATAAATGAATAAATTGTACTTGCACGAGCTAACTCAGAAAATAATTATAAATTTTAAACTCACTTATCGAATTATATATTAAAAAAAAATTAAAACATTCCGTAATTAAATTTAACCACACGTTATATTTCTTAA